CATCAAAACATTTTTTAACAGATTTCTGCAGCCAAAATCGGTTCGAGGTCAGTAAGCACAACCAGAATTCATACATAAGGCACACTCTCGATTTTTGAGAAAATTAAAGGATTTTAAGTGTGGAAAACACGTTATACAGAAGAAAAGAATATATCTGATATATATCGTTACCGCACGTGCTTCAAATTATATCGCGATATGGATTTTAGGCCATATCGCCCAGCCCTAGCTCACACAATACTTTTCCTTAATGTAATTTGGGTGTTGAACATGGTGCCCGTGCTCAGGCTCCTCCACCCTCTGGCCCGCCTCCACCTCACCTCAGCACTACTGTGTCTGCCTGACGCAGACCTCCGCCGTGCCAGCCGTGATCACGGTTAGTGCGGTGACCTCACAGCGCCGGCTCAGGTGAGCGTTAGGTTTGCAGAACGGACTTTAATAAAAACATCTGAACCATGACGAGGTTTTTGGCAGAATGATGCTACAGTGTTCAGATGGGTTTCCTTCATCAACAGTTTTAATTTTCCACAAACATTTCTTAAAGTAAGTCGAATTATCTAAAAATAATAAATACATTCTCCTCCCTGTGTTGAATATTCTGACAGAAAGTGTTAGAGCGGCGTGTTGCCATGAAAGCTGAAATCAACTTAACCTGCACCTGACTCAAACTGCTCCATGTCAGGAGGATTACTCCCACCATGAACCTCACACACAAACTCCACGCTCGCTCTTCTGCACGCTTGTTTGATGGTGATTTGTTGTGATGGCAGCTTGTCAACCCAAATGTGCTCATAAAAATTAAGCTTAATGTCCACTCCTGCCAAAAGTGACCAGTTTGGTTGTTTTTCTGCAGTTCAGCTGAGGATGATGGAAAGCTGTAGAAAAAAGCACACGAGCTGTTACTCCAAATAAAAAAGACAAAAACCGGATATAGCTGCAAAACCTCTTTCCAAAATTGCATTTTTTACATTGTGCACATTTAATCTGTTGCACAAAGGAAAAAGAAATGACGGCTTTCTCTAAAGAAATAGGCTTCAGCTCTAAGAAGCAGCGGAAAATCATTCCACGGTGGCACACGCTAATCTCCCAGCGTTACGTTAGGAAACGCCGCCGCCTCCAAAGGCTGCAGGCAGGATTATTAAGCATGTTGTTCTCTTAGAAAGCTGCTACGATAGAGGAATATCTGGAAAAGGAACGAAACACTGCAGCTAATATCAAAGCTGTGAGAGACAGAAATAGGAAGCAGTCAGAGGTTTAGAGCCGTGTGGTTAGAAGAAAGAGAACTCAAAGGCCGGGTGAGTGTGTGTTAATATTTCTGTTTATTGGCAGACAACAAAGAGAGTCTAAAAAGGACACGCAGATCGATGCGATGACAACAACTGACAGGAAACAGGCTACACCTTAGTGGCACACAGTTGAACAATCCCTGCATCTAAAAAGTTAACAGGTAACATGACTGCACTCATGGTGAAAGCTCCACTGAACTGTTGTTGGGTCTGTATGCAGCTTTAATGCATCACAGAGATATGCTGTTCATTTACAGGCAAGAGACGCAAAATCAGGGCCGCAGCAGGTGGATGTGTGATAGAAAGCCACCGTGCATACTCCGCTGTGGGCGGCAGCTTCAGGATGTTAACTCGTGGCTACCAGGAACGCGTCAGGAGTTCGGACAAACTAAAATGTTCGTGTATGGCATACGTGATGATCGCAGCCACAGACCCAACAAACACAGCAACAGCTCTAAGAAGATTTAACAAGACGCACGTTTTTGAAACAGCAATTAAAAAAAATTGAAATGAAAGTTTCAGAGCTACAAACCAAACTTTCATCCTTCAGTGAAAAAGAATAAAAGACAGAACTGCGTCTCCCTGACATCGTTCACTTAGGCTTACCTACACATTTGCTTTATTAAGGATGGTGGAGAGGAAGAAGGGACTGAACCGGGAAAAAGAATAAATAGTTCTGTAGGGTTTCAATACACAAATACCTCGTGTGTGTGTGTGTGTGTGTGTGTTTTGGATGCTGGGTGTTGACAGATCCGGCTTGCAGCACTGGCAGCTCTGAGAGGGTTCATGCCTGGATGGTGTTTGAGTGTGTGAGTGTGTGAGGACACGAACAGAAACTTTACTGCTGGCTTCAGTGTGACAAAGAGACGCAGAGAGGAGATCCACACGGGGCCACG